TGATTTCACTGTGTACAGGTGTAAAAGTTTTAAGGAGGAAAGTGTAAGACCACGTGCGCAGCGCGTTCGTTTCGGAGTCAGCCTTTTTTTATTTTGTTTACGAGGTGGGCATATGTTTCGTCTGCTCGACTTGGTCTTTTTGTTCTGTTTGTTTGTTTGCGGCGCCGTTGTCTCGGTGAATCGAGGCTCGAGCATGTGCAGTCACGGCTTGGCGCCGCAGTGGCGCCTAGCGATGCAGGCAGCGAACCTACGAGAAATTATGTAGTGTCCGTTAGGGGCTCAAGTGGTGCTTCTGTTGCTAGCCTGTGGTTTGTTGGGGGGAGGGGGGTGTTATCCACGTGGCATCGGCCAGGTTCAAACTGATTGGCCTGTTCCGGCAAGAAGAAGTGGGCTCTTACATAAGCCACTGACGTGCGGAAAAGTGCGATTTTGCTATGGATTTCAGCGCATGGTAACGTGTCAATGATATTAGAGTCCCAAAATTCGTACAAACAATTAGGTGCACACAGGTTGTAACCAAATTATGTTTAATGGACCTTTTTAAATAAAAACAATTATCAGCAACAAGAATATCTCTAATTTTTGATCATCGCCCCCAAATGACGCCGCTGACCGGCGACAACAACTCTACACAACTTCGGGTAACTTATCTTTAATGTTGATTTCGTAAGCGAGTGCGTCTCTGGCTGCAAACGAATCCAGAGATATCTATAAGAGGAGCTAAAATAACAATGCTTATGGCCTGAACGTCCAACCAGACTCAATTTCCAACGAGCCTTAATGTCCAATCGGTCACGGGAGAGGCAAGACGGAATGTCCAACGAGACGAAAGGCCCAATCGAGACGGAATGGCCAACGAGCCCGAGTGTCCAACGAGTCTGAATATCCGACGGATATGGAATAGTTAGATTAATGATAATTACGGTGGTGAAAATTACGCTCGACGAAATGGGGAACAGGACGTTTCGGTGGAGAGATCTCGGGTACGCGGTCGTTCCGGTACGTGGTCGTTTTCATACCGGGCTTTTCAGCACCTGGCTTTTCAGTGCACGTCTGTTTTGGTGTCGTGAAGCTCGGCGAAACCTTGTGTGTCCTGTGTGTCGGCGAAACCTTTTGTGCTTTGTGTGCCCACACTGCGCATGCTCCTTCACCGCGGATGAGACGAGAGTACTACCGTGCTTTCCAAAAATTGAGAGCTTCTAGTATTTTTAAGATTGTGGTGAATACTTCTTTGTTTATGCGGAATAATTCATATATTTATTCATAAAAGTAGTTATCAAAAATTGTTTCCAGCCACACTGTTTTTTTTTTTTTTGTTTTTTTAACGAATTTATTAGAGTTTGCCAAAGCAACATCGTCGGCTATATAGAGGAAGCTTATGCTGCGGAGGGACCACCAGTTTTACGCAAATTGTACCTTTGCATTTCATTCAGTGACAAAATAAAACGTCGAAGAATTTACAAGCGATCATATAAGCAAACATCCGATTATCTTAAAATATCGGGCGAGTGTCCACCCAAAGTGTGGAAATAATCGCGAAAAAGTGAGAGATGGGCGTTTGTCCGGTCGTTAATTTTACATATAAATATACTGCGAGTCTTTTCTCAGAGCCTACAAATTTGAAAATTGGCGCTTAGTTCAAACTGGGCATATGCGGGGTATTCTATGGTAGTCAGATATTCATGCCACAATGGGGAGAAGTTAAATATATTAGACCTGCAGCCAATGGTTTGCGAAGAGATAGATCATCTTTTGATCTTTTTTGTTATTGCAACAGTTGATATTTTTTTACCACAGATTTGTAAGTCTTCTTTCGTTTGACTGTTTTCGGGTATGACATTTAGTGTTTAGGGTTTTCGTAACTCTTATCTCTTTGCTGTTTTTTTTTCTTTTGCGGTTAACGTTTTTTACAGGTGCAGTGTTTTCCGGTGTCGGAAATAATGGCGTTTTTCAGGACTTAACGTTGAAGAAAACAGGACACGAGAAAACTTTAGAGAACGGGAAACCTGAGCGTGACTAAAATACATTAAAAACGTCGGGGTGCTGAGAAAAAAAATAGATAAGTGATGCGCTTTTTCAAAAAGAAGCAACTTGATGGAGAGCTCTGCCCGGGTCGTGTTCCGGGTTATCTCAAAATAAAACTTGATTCATATGTATTTCCGTGAAGCGTGGGTTAGTTTAAATCAAAGACAGCTATCATTAGGGATTTCTTCGATTTTCCAGAAGACGCGGATTTATCATGCGTTGCGACTGCGACAAATTCTGTGTATAAATAAATTGCCATTTGTATTGAGCTGCGTGCACCAATTTGATCCTCCCCCACTGTCGGTCATCTGAGGGCTTGCATCGAAACGGCGTCCTTATGAATTCTGAAGCACCATCCGCAGTAATGCTCCACGAAACTTTTCTTGGCGTAGATGGGAAGCAGGCCGTGCGTAAGGCTCGCTTGCGGCGTACACATCTTACCTGAGTGTTACGCATGCGTTGTCGTTTTCTCCGGGATTCTTAACGGCATGCAGAGTGGGTGACAATTCTTGCGAGGGTGCATCTGCTCCATGCCGCTGCGCGAATCTCCATCGGCCGTGACGTTTCTAGAGCGAAAGGAATCTGCAAGGGAAGTTGATCAAGAAGTCTCCAAGTTCGAAGTCCCTACGCTTCGTTCATCGTTTAGAGACAAAGCTGAATTGCATTGTGAAGTTACTTCTTAGATGTGAAACCTACTACTCTCGCCTATTTTTGTTTATATCCACCATTATCAAAGAAGGGATAGTTTTATTTTATATTATTACAACAGTAAGCATTTTACTGAAAGGGAGCCATCTTTTCTCACCAGGTATAAGTCTGCTCGTCCATGTTACCCTAACTTTGGAACGACCTGCAGGTATACCCTGTCCCAATGTTGCTGGCAGGCGTGCATAAAGAAGAATACTTATTTTTACGTCGCACGTGTTTATAGCTCGTTCCAGGGATAAGCCCAAATTCTATCCGACAAAAGTGCGGCCACACTGCTCTAAGGTAAAATATGAGAAGTGAATTCACTGTACGTGTTCCAAGTAGTCTCTTTTCTGCACTGAATGCAAAAACTCCTTTTCCCACTCCAGATATGTCCGTCATCAAACGAAGGGTGTTTCATACAACAGCCTCCCCCCCCCCCCCCCCCGCCCCCAAAACCCGCGCCCCTCAATTATGGATGGTGAAAGGGTGCAGTCATGGGTTCAAGTCTCTAGAAAACCTTCTTTAAACCTATAAGGATGTAAAAAGACATGTCTTGTATACATCACAAAACAAGCGTATTCACTGAGGAGGGGCGTATAATATTCAATGAGAGTAAAACCTAAGACGTTTTTGTTATACCTTTCAGAAATCGTAAAAACTGCGGTGGCAACGAAAAAAAAAAAAAGAAACCTGAGTGTTCAATAGGCTTAGAAACCCAGTTTTGAAGTCTTAAAATAAGCTTTCAAAACATACTTTAAAAAAACACTACAATCTGAAACAAAACACATTGAAATAACAAAACAAACACAAAAATATAACAGCTTTCTAGTGAATTCTCACAATCGTAGCCGCATCTAATAGCTTTTGGCTGTTAAAAGTTGATGAAATAAAAAATATATTTTATAATATCAATATTGCACGTTAACTGAAATGAGTGCAGAAAATGTTATAAACAAGGCTGCCGTTTTCTGAAAAAAGAAAAATCTATTATGAACCACGTCATTTGGAGATAAAAACATATTGAGCGCATCAATAACTACATTCGGAGTTGGGGCTTAAACCGTGTTTCTAAATACTAATAAAAGAAGTGCTTCCAAAGCACGTAATTTATCGAAAATAAGAATAGTGCTGCAAACCGACAAAGCTTACGCAGGCAAGCGAGGCGTTCTTGTTTACTCAACGTTTAATGTATCTAATCGCAAAGACGTTAAATACAAAGGAAAATACGTATCTTCGCCTGGCTTTTGTCACAGCGCCAAAAATTACTCTCCGCCAGAAGTCTTGCGCAGTGGAGCGGGTTTAAAAAATGATAGTGCACATTGAAAAGCCTGGTAGCTAACGTGGGTCATTTAACTCACTTTATTACGTTTTACTGCCATTCCTTATTGTTCTGCCCTTAGCTAGCCTTCGCTGGTTCCGATATATTAAACGTTTGTTCTGTATGTGAGTGTTTCAAGTAAAAAAAATCGGGAATAAAAAGGCCACAAAACAAGGTGCAATATTAAACAACAAATGCTGTTTGGCAAGCACCGAAACAATTTTTTGCCGTGGTTTGTTTTCTTTTTTGTGTTTTATTTCTTTTGATGGTCTGGCTTTATACGCTAACTACATCAGTTCTGAGGCTTTAAATTGGACATTCGGCGTGAATGTCTGCGAGCTCAAGGATTGCCGCGATTGGCTAGCGCCGCACTTGACCTTGTCGTTGGCCAATCGCAGCACGGTGCTGGATAATCGGGGCGATGTCAGCAACTCTGCCGACTTTATAGTCGAGTGTCCAACTTAACCGTGGTCCAAACCAACCCAAAAAACGTAATGTAAAACAGTCCAAAAGGCGAAACCCTTTTTTTTTTCTCTTACCTTTCGTAGGTTAGAACAGGTGGAATGTGTGCAGATGCGTGTGGACGAGACTAGAGAGACAGCCAGCACACTGGCGACGGGCGGAGGGGAGTTGAGCGCGGAAGGGAAAAACGTACGATAATCTCCAAGGGCAAGGAGAGGGAGAAAAGGCCCCCTGTGTGAAATTTTTGGGTGACTTCGAGGGGCAGTCTACGACAAAAGCAACTGCTTCTTAACCCTCCATTTGTCCTTTTGTAAAGGCCCCCCGCCCTTTCCCGAAAGCAGGAAAACGTTACCGTCGACGTCAAAGGCGGCGTTATTTTCGGCTACAAGACGTTCCCCACGACCCTTTTGCGGGCTGGTTTGGACCGCCCTTTAGAGCCCCCAGGTGGCTAAACGTAACCCGTGTCGGCCTGGGAGGGGCTCGAATCTGGACACTTACCCCCGAATTCATAGATGTAACTTGACTCGAACTTGACTTGAAGCCGTCTTGAAAAGACGCCATCGCGTTTCATAAATCCTCCTTGACTTGAAACGCGAACTTGAAGCGATCTTGACTTGATCCAAATCTTCAAAATTTCAAGACAGCGTTGTACCTGTCTTGAACGTGACTTGAGCTTGACTTGGGCGAGTTTTCCAAGATGTCGGCTTCCGACGTCGCTCGGAGAATCGCGGCGTTCGAGTTTGCCTCCCGCGCCTCTGACCTCATCTTCGGCAACGTGTACGCGTTACCGAGAGTCCCGCGGCCATCGGTTCGAGACCGCGAAAACCCAATGGAGAGGTACAACGACGGGCAGTTCCTCGCGCGGTACCGCTTCACGAAGGGAACCGTGCGGGAGCTGCTCGCCACGCTACCTCTTCAAGCGAGCGCTGACAACAGGGGTCTGCCGCTGCCCCCAATGCTGCAACTCCTGGTGACCCTGCGGTTCTACGGTGCCGGGGCGTTTCAGATTGTCACGGGGGACCTCGTCAACGTGTCCCAGCCGACAGTCTGCCGCACGGTCGGAGTCGTGACGCGCCTGATCGCACGGCATCTGTTCAAAGAACTCGTGCATTTTCCGGACGCTTCCCAATTAAACACTGTGATGCGCGAATTCTTCGAGATCGCCGGATTCCCCGGCGTTACGGGCTGCATTGACTGTACCCACGTGCGAATTAACAGCCCCGGCGGTGACGACGCGGAAGTATACCGCAACCGCAAAGGAGTGTTCTCCATCAATGTCCAGGTGGGTTCTCAGTTTATCAAAACCGAGCGAATGTGCTATCCACGAAAACGTGTTCGCGCGTTCTTGGCACGATTGTGCGATCGTATATTCGAATGATGCGTGCATGTTCACAAGCGCCAAGTCCGAAAATGTACTGTACACCCAGGTATTTATCAAGCTGCAAATAGCTCAGTTGATTGGCTGTACCATGATGAGGAATTTGCAGCTTCTGCTAGAATAGAATCTCTAGTTTGTAAATTGTTTGCGATGTGCGCTCTCCATTTTAATAAAACTAGAGCATGGAACCATGAAAGTTTTCTGCACTCAGTAGCTGGCACACATTTATTCCAGATGGAATATATTTGTCAAGAATTCTCAAAATGTCAACCAGAGAGACACCACCAGATTCTATGTATTATTCAATCTACTTGCAGGCTGTCACCGGTCCGCAGCTTCAGTTTTTTGATGTCGTGGCAAGCTGGCCCGGGTCTGTCCACGACAGCCGCATCTTTGACAATTCGAGGCTGCGGGTCATGTACGAGGAGCACCGACTGCCCGGGCATCTGCTGGGAGACATGGGCTATGCATGCTTCCGCTTTCTAATGACTCCCCTTGCACAGCCCGTTAGAGCAGACACACCACGGGGCAGGCAAGTAAATCCTAGAAGTGCTTCAGCACTTGGTCTGGTCTGCACAAGCACTTCCTATGATCAAATGCATTTTGGGGAGTAGATGGAAACAAAATAGCGCTGGTTTTGCAAACATAGACTATTATTTGGAGTTCAAAGGAGCCGACATGGGAGCAGAGGGCTTGTCAATAGCCAAGATGACTGGGGGATGCATCCGCAGTGAATCTCTAAAAATGGAATAAAGCGAGGGCCTACCACTTAAATCAGTGCACATCTATGCGGAGGGCAAGTTCGTCTGCTTCTTGTGCAGGGGATAGCGGTGACGTCAGAACGCCGAGCCCTGATTGGCTGATCGCGACCCCCTATCTGAGCGTCGTCTGCTCCTTTGCAACGTCGTCTGCTCGCAAACGTCGTCTGCTCGCAACGTCGTCTGCGTCTGTCTTACCTTTCCTGCGACTTCCGGAAGTGCAGAGGCCAGATTCACGAAAAGATCTTACGCTAAAAATGTGCGCTAGACAAAGCTTAAGAACTAATTCGTACTCACGAAACGAAATTTTCGTAAGTTTTGCGCAGGTTACGATGAAATCCTACGACAGCTCCGAAGCTGTCTTACGCACTTCTTACGATCAGATCAGCATGGCCGACAGCGTCGCGGTCGCGACGACCCACGGACGTTTATTTTTCTACGTGCGCTTCTCATGCGTCCCGACTTCAATCAGCAAGAAAAAAGTAAAAAGTACTGAAAACATACCACAACGAACAAGAACGCTGGATCCACAAACACCCGGGAAAAGCTCCAATGGCCACGATTCCACCGAACGCGACCAAGAGAGTTCGGCAGTTAGGCCTAGCAGGCACTCCGCGACTCGGCGACCGTCTGCTTACGACCGGCTGGCGTGCTGAATGGAATATGCCCGCGCGACCCTTGTGAACCCTTCCCGTGTTATACTTTGATCGCTGACCTCAATTTTAGATTAAGAGGTCAATTTCTTCCTTTTAATTGTTATCTCCTTGTTTCCCGAGGCAACGCTGACTCTCGCCGGTGAAAAAGCGGTGAATCTCCGACAGACGCAGGAAAGGTGAAGCAGCCATCGCTTTGACTAGCAGATGTAAAGCAGACGACGTTAACTGCGCCAACCCGCCGACGCCGTTAAAGAATGAGGGGTCTCGCTGCACACGAAAGGAGGGAAAAAGTGTTTGGGAGGGAACTTGCAGACACTAACCACCCTCACTCTCGGTTCTTAGCAAACAAACCTCGGCGCCTCGGGACACCTCGCCAGTTGAGTCCTTTGACTTCCCTCCTTGCATGATGCGCGTCTGCTAGTTGTCAGACAAAAACAACGTACTGCTCGAGTTATTTCGTCTGCCCTCTCTGAAAGGCGAAGTCGAGCTCGCTCGACTTCCGAAAGTCGCAGGAAAGGTAAGACAGACGCAGACGACGTTGAGAGCAGATGACGTTGCAAGGAGCAGACGACGCTCAGATAGAGGGTCGCGATCAGCCAATCAGGGCTCGGCGTTCTGACGTCATCGCTACTTCCTTTCTCATGCGCAGAAGACGAAAATGAGCCCACTTGCGAGGCGTATAGAAAAAAGCGTGGAGGAGGTTCACCAATTCACCTACGTGTTTGAAAACTACACAATGGAAGGAACACCGAAAAAAGCACCAAAAGAAAACTACACAAGTACAAGGAAGTAGACAGACAAGAGCGCACTAGCAAATGGTTTTTATTTGTGAAAACTAACCGTACTGGAAGGAAACAGTGTTTTGTGGAACTTCCGTTTAAGCAGTGTTACAATTTATATGCCCCAACTGAGGTCTCGTACGTCACTCCGAGGCGGTGGTGCTTTTAGTGCACTTCCAATGGCGTACCAACTTGTTTTTGAATGGGAAGGCAAACCAGACCCCCCCCCCCCCCCCCAGGACCGGGGGGTGGTGTCCTCGGTATCCCTTGGGCGCTGCCAGCCAGTGTTTGCCCTGCCCAGTGGCGGCTGTTTCAGAGGGGGCAAAACACATGCCTTGCCCCCTCCCCCCCCGGTTGGTACGCCCATGTGCACTTCTAGTACAAGGATGTGGGAAAGAAAAGCCAGGCCTGAATTAACGTCATTTCAAAGCTCCTGGCTTTTTGAAGCAGCGAAAATGGCGTAGAGTGCTGCTAGCGGCTGCTGTGCTTGGTGTCTCTGGTTTCAGCAACTTGGTTTTGTTTCGCTAACTGTCGCATAGAAAACTGTTCATCATGCGGACTTTGTTTGTGATGTATAAGCAGTCTTCAAACACCCTTCCATCACATGTCACCGTGATACCTGTGCTCCCTATGCTGTGTACCAACCTACTGCTTGCATTGGTTTCCATCCAGCATAGAAGCAGGAATGTCGTGGTGACTCTAATTCAAATCTGTTTGCAGGTAGTTTGATATATGGCGTATAAGCGGCGAGGCCCCGGCTTTACAATACGAGCTCCCCCTACAACTGCTAGAAGTGCACCTGGTTGCGTTGTCAGCATAGTGAACTTACATTTATTTCTCCCATCAGCCAAAGAAACGTCTGTTTCCTAGAAGCTGAAAACGATGGGGCCATTCTCGCCAGCTGCTGTTGCGACTGCCGCCATGTTGGTCATCTACGTCCACTCTTGCAGTGATCTCATTGCTGCGCCATTTGCACCAAACTGTGCCAAAGTGCTTACCCTGCTACATTTGACCAAAATGTGAGGAATTTGCGCCAACATTGCACCAGAACTTAAGTTCACTTAAATATTACTGAAAATATAACAGCTGCAGGCTTTGGTACCGAGTTGGATTGTTAGGGTAGGCTCGTGCGGGGGTTGTCAGGACTTTCGATAATCGCCTCAAATAACATACTATTTGATTTGATTTTGTACCAAGCACTAACAGTACTCGGAAGTTTTGCAATAAGTCTCGTGGTCTGTTCTGGTGGGCTAGGTGCTCGAAATGATTGTATTTTAACATTTCTTCAGTGGGATTTTGTACATAAAATAATCATTCACGGCAGTTTGCACTGTCCTTCATCAGTCGTCTTCTTGTTACCGTGTCTGGTGCCTCCACACGCAACTAAACAGCTAGTGTTTGTTCTCCTCCTAATATTTGACGTCTCTCCTCCTCGCATTTGCAGTGATATAAATGAAAATGAAGAGTGCAGTTATGCTCCAAAAGCTCTTTTTCCATCTCCAAAATGAAGTTTTCGCTGCTCCAATAGCTACTCCAAAATGACTGCGACCAATCACATCACTGCTCTTCGCATGCAATGAAACATACCCACGATTCCTCGCGCAAGCACTCAATCCACTCCCACCAAGCAGATCAGTTCCGATTCAATGTGCCTGGCTAGCAAATCGGGGCATCTACATGGACCAATTTGATTCGCTAGCTCGATTCAATGCACTAGTATCGCATTCGCATAAACATGGCCACTATAATAAAAGAAGTCCTGTTTCCGTCCCCGAACTCGATGTTTTATCTTTTCGTGTATTCATATCTATTCACCAATCTGCTCATTTTCAATTATTCTTATAAAGCATTCCTTGTCATTAATCTCACTCTCCGGTTGAACACCACATTCAGCTCTCACCAGTTCGCTCGGGCGGGAGATGAAACGACAATGTTTACCTGCAGAAAGAAGTTGCAGGCCTCCAACGACTTGCATGCTTGTTTATAGGGTGAACCTTCTAACTGCACATTGCAAGTAAAGTGGAAGATGTACATCACCTAACCTTATTTATACTTTCTCATTCAACCAGGTACAACAAGGCCCACATAAAAACGCGAAACACTGTCGAAAGGGCGTTTGGAGTTTGGAAGCGGCGCTTCCCTTGCTTGGATATGCGGCTCCAGCATAAGCCTGGTCGCTCTGCCAGCATTGTGACGGCCTGTGCTGCCCTGCACAACCTGGCATGCCTGAGGAGGGAGCCGCAGCCTCCACCGCCTCCACCTCCACCAGTCAGGCGCAGGGTCCGCAACAACAGGAGGAGGGCCAGGCGACCGGTACACCTGCCCCCCGTTGATGCCGTGGAGGACACCCTGACGGGCATCCAGACTCGAGAGATCATCATTGAGAAAAACTTCACTTATTAGAGGTACGCCAAAAAGGTGTTTGACTTTGTTCAAGCAGGTGGCTATCCTAACCCATACCGGCTAAACACTCCAATATCCAAAAACATTAGTCGAATGCCCGATACCCACAAATTTGCGAGCTAAAATAGGCATGTTCTTTTCCTCTTCATCTTTGCTCTTTCAGAACGAGGAAGAAAGTGACAGCCGCAATACGAATCCAATCGTGCCATTAGCGGAGCCATGTACCGTGCCTCTGGAGTCTGGAAAACCTAAAACATGCTTCAATAAAGAATCTCTTTCATGCAAATAAATTGGTAAAATGAGGGAAGATGTGTGGCGGTAAGGTTGCCGAGGGCTTGTAAATATATAAAATAGCATTTTATGAAACTGTCCTATAGAAAAAGCTCATTATTTAAAAACTAGTCCACACACAAGTGGAGGCACTGGGCATGCGCATAAGCCAGCTTTGAGTGACGTGAAGCATCTGCACGTGCACCATGTGATAAGCAGCGCCATTGCTACGACAGACGCATGTAATGTGAAGGCATTTCTTGGAAATGCGATTCGCTGTAGATTATGCTGCTGTGTGCAATTATTTCGGAGTGATTTGGAGCATTGAACAGCTCGCCTAGGGAAAATCTACAAAACATTGCTCTAGTGTTGCGCAGGGATGCAGGGACAAACTTGCTACATCATCAACGCACTCTAAATTCTCTTCGATGAACTTCGCCACGTTTTATAAAGGTTGCCCATCTCAAAGGAATGAGAGTTCTAACTAAAGTGCTTTGCAAACTTTGGCCTCAACTTTGTGTACGACAAGACAAGTGGCCTTGCAATACACGGTGGGGAAGTTCACAGCGTGTTCAATTTTGATTGCCTTCGCTCATTTCTGCAGGCTGTTGTCATGGTGCCACTGCAGCAGGCAGAGATGGAGGGCATGCTCCTGCCCTGAGAGAGCCAACCTTCTTCCCCTGGCGACTTTTCTAGGGACACCATTAACCATTTGGCCTTTGGGTGGCCTGGTCACAATCGCTGCCAACCACCACGGCTACCTACCTACATTCCTGCCACAGCTTGCACAAGTTCCAGCTCCATCATTGCTGCAGCAAAGCAACAACATCAGACTGAGCTGTGTTGGTGCCACTGTGCCGCAAAACATATGTATCCATTGAAGGAGCACTGCAATAAAAATTAAAATGTATCTATTTCATCTATGAGCAAGTTATATGTGATTACCCACATCCCTGCTAAACAGCGCACTCTGGCTAGGGCTCAAACAGCACCTTGCCAGAGCATGCCGTTTTGAGCATCCTGACATGACGCTCCAATTTTACTCTCCACACAGAAAATTTATGTGTTGTCAACATTGTAGACTGTGCATTATGTAACACATTCCTCAGCGTGTGATGCTACATTTGAGACTGACTGGTGCTCTAAAAAAGTCGAACCAGTACGGTAAGACTGTACTAGGGAGCACACAACTTCTCTTCCAAAACAGAAAAAATATGAAGAAATTTTAGTTATGGTTAGAACGCTGGTGTTGTAGGGTAATGTTATAAATAGGACAACTTTCTCAAAGTTTGTCTGGTTTGAGTTTATGTACGTTGAAAACATGTCGACGTGCGTTTGGTTGAGCCGCTCAATTAGGCCTTTTGCTTACTGGGCCGAAGCTGTGATGGTGCGGTAAACAACATTACAGGCCTGCAGAAGTTCTTGTACACGTGTTGATCAAATTAAGACACCACAGTGGCTCATCAATTGTTGTGGAGCTCTATGGCATAATAATGCCGAGTCAAAAATCTGAAACCTCCGGAGCAGTGGCAGCTGGCAGTGCGGATCTCTCGACGTGGCTGGCCATATGATCGATTGCCACGACGACCCAGTGATTTTCTGACGTCGAGGAATGCAGTGGTCCTATAAGATAAATCTAAATTCTTTGAAATGACCGTTCAGGTGAAGGCAACAATAGAAATAAACACATAGAAAACCGAGGCGGGCGCTTCCTCATTTGGCAGTATGGAAAATCTTAGACGAATCGCTGTGCACTGCGACATAGCCCCGGCCTTAAGTAACGCTGGGAATATATTTACCTTCGAGTGTTCCAGAAGGCATGGATATGTATGAGAACTCTTTCTGAGTGAATTCAGTCCTCTTTAGATCATCCAAGGATTGACTGACATCTTGCTCCTAGGTCATGGGTACTGGCTTCAGTAGTGTTTCTGTTGCACGTGCAAGCTCAAGACTTGAAGAGGCACTAAAGGGGATTCTGCGATCGTCTGTTCTTGGTCCTAATGGATTCCACGGGCCCTAAGCATCCTAAAATTCCAAAAATTACAATCACGTGATGCCAATTTCCTTATTAAAAACGTGATGGAAGGCCAGGACACACCTCTTACTGAGCGTATTTTTCTGCTCGGGAAAGGCGGGGCATACCCCATCAGCAGTGCAAGCACAGTGACGATGGGCACTCGTCGGCCAATAAGCCGCCTCTCCTGGAGAGGGGGTTTGCAATTGGCCGACGAGCGCCCATCATCGCCGCACTCACACCACTGCTGGTGTTAGCCTTGCCCGAGCGGAAACATCCGCTCGGAAAGGGCTGTGTCCCGACCTTTCATTGTGTTTTTAATAAAGAAATCAGTGTTGCGTGATTGTAATTTTTGGATTTTTACAATGCTTTAGGGCCGATAGAATCAGTTATGACCAAGAACAGACGATCACAGAATCCTCCTTAGTGCCCCTTTAAAGGGGCCCTGCAATCATATTTAAGCATCTACCTTTTATGCGGTTTCAACGTCTCTTGGGGTTCGGGCAAGCCAGCGGGCACGGAAGGAGTAGTTAAATATCAATACGCCATATTTTAACCGGACGACACGGAAACCTCCTCCACCTACGAGGGCGACCCACGGTACCGAAAGCGCGCAAAATGTGACGTCTTTGGTCCTGGGCTTACTACTGGTCAGAGCCACTAAAAACTTCTTTTTGGTCAAAATACAAAATATAAGTGGTGCGAACCGTTTCAGTTATTTATAAAAGTAGTTTTTGTTCACTATTATAGATGAAAAAAAGAAAGAAATGCAGTTTATAAAGTACGGAAACAAGAAATGACCCGTCAACATACCCACCGCCAAGCGGTGGAAAAGGCGGCGCATACTAGAAAAGAGTAGTGGGATAAGGCGCCGACACGGAAAAATCCCGGATATACGCGGTGGCGCTGCAGTCGTATGGACAGGAGGATCCGACCGGCTCCGAGCGTTCCGAAGGCCTTCCGCGAGAGGCTTTGTCTTGCGGTTTGGCCGTTTCGCGGTATGGCAGCGCGAAGTGGGCTCCCATTCTGAACTGATCTTTACCCAGTGTTTGCTGTCGTTTGTGGCCAATGAAATGTCATGCAGAATTAGTGTTTAATAGCGCAGCAAACGCAATGAAAGCCGCTTTGGCTGCCCGCTGCATACAGCCTATGCAGAACATGCTTTAGTGGCGCCCTCTGGCGCCGTCGACACGGAGTGCGGCGGCCGTGAGCGCTCGATGAGCTCACTATTCCTCCTCCAGTTCACGGCCACTCAAGCCAGGACCTACGACGTCATGAAGGAGGTTATTTTTTGCTTGTTTTTGTAATTCTAAATTGCCTATAACTTTTAAAATAAAGCGAATTTCGCGAAAAGAAAGGTTTCACTAAGTTACTATGTTCAGTGCGCTCAGGTTCGGTGCAAATTAAAAAGCAGTAAAAAGTCCTTGCAGGGCCCCTTTAAGCAATGATGGTGTGAAATTCTGTGGTGGTCCTTTCACGTATACTTGATGTTACCTTCATCTGAGCGAGTCATGTGATATAGCCCTAGCTTTCCTCTTGCAAGTTCTATGAAAGAAATCAAACCACCTTTTAAAGTTCCAGGTTAAATTTGAGCACCCTCTTTATTTTTCAGCTTGCTTGAGCTGCTCGAGCTTCAGAAGTATGAGTTCTTTTTTGGCTCGCTTTATTTCCATTTCGAAGCTGTGCTCCGTTGCCCTTTTCTGCAGTTTGTCATCGTGGTCCTCCTTCATGAGACGGAGGCGGAGTGCGTGCTCCTCTCGCAGTAAGGTTTCTCTCACCTCATTTTCTTTAGCTAAGCTATTCTCTAGGACCGCCATCCTGCCTTTGGGTAGCCTAGTGGCGGCGTGGCTTGAGGCGTCAGTTCCATCAATGCTGTACCTAGCGGCGGCGGCTGCAGGCGGCTGGGTAGCATGAGCTCGAGAGTGCCCATTGCTTTGAGCTGCTCCCGTGTCTACAACACTGGCGCTTGTGCAAGCTGCTGATGTGACCTCCGGCTCGCTGAGGGGGCTTGGGCTTGTAGGTCGATTGTGGGCATCTGAAATAAAAAGGGTGAGCAGATATCTGGTTGAGGAATTATATGCAGCACGTTGCATACAATTTACATACCAGAAATTATGTAGTGAGCTCAATTGTTGATTACGGCAATCAGCCATATTTCACTCCACTGCATGTCTCTATTCTGGTGTTAATTTTTCTGCTTATTGTTCATTGTTCAAGTCACTTGCATGCAAAGTAACAAAAGTTACTCTAATGACAGAGATGAGGCAACCAGAACCTGTGATGGCTTGATAATGTTATTAATTGTACTGGTTGTCACACTGGAAGTGTGGCAAACAATTGTCTCAGTGAGTCTCTGTTCTGTCATTCCAGTCGCTTTGAATGCAACTCTGAACCAGGCTTCACATGGTCCACACTTTATATATGTCCGACTTCGTGAATACAGGAATTTAAACCAAAACATGCAGTGTTGCGTGCATGGTTTTATGGAAGCAGTCTATTTGGTCAAGCTATTATGTAACATTACACTAGGAAAGATGCCATGGCCCTCTCCTAGCGTGACTTTGTCTGCAGCTCAAGTGTATTTTGAAAGTGCAAATGTTTTGATACACATTTCATAGCTTTATAAGTATAGAGACTATTCACTTGCGGCTTATACATGCAAGTTGTGTGCGGTGCATTCTGGGTATATCACCATTTTTGGATTCCCTGACAGCAGACAGTCGCGTGGCCACACCAGGATCAGCTGCACTACACCACGAATCTTTAGAGAGTTTTCGTAAACCATTTTCCCACCTCTGCTCTCCGAAACAAGGACGCCAGAACTGCACCTGAGCGGCGCTAGCCTTGCCTGCAGAGTCCCAGATCTCATAGCGGGTTGCGGAGAACGTTGCGGGACAGCGTAAATAACCTATGAAAACTCACTTTTCTCTGGTTTTGTTGACACCAGAATTTTCAGCGCCAGTATGGTGTTGTTCGTGATGATCGACTGCCGAAGCAAGTTGCAGTTGAAGAAGAAAAAAGAAGAGAGCAAGCTTGGGGACTCCCATTTCTTCAAGACTTCGAGAGTTTGAAGACTCGAGTGCGAGAAAGTCTGGTCGCTCTCTGTAAGAAGGCACCGCAAATGGCTTGCACGCGTCAACCGGAAATACCTCGACGTAAACGCCGACAAGTACCGAGTGTGCTCAAGGCAGTTCATCTCGAGTAAGTGTGGGCCCCATTTGCTTTCGTCGGACATGAACAGCAAAATTTGCACAAAACTTCGGCAGCCGCCCGTCGCTGCAGCTCATCGTGACGTGCGTCGCTTGCATGTGGTCTCGATGAAACGAGTGACAGGGGGTCCAGTTTGGTCGCTTTGCCTGGAAGAATTGCTCATACTGCCGCGCGCAGGGCTGAGAAAGCAACGCTCGGTCACGGACCGAGGGTCATCGTTCTTGGTTAAGCTCACGCAAGAGATCCTTCGGCTCAGCCACACCAGCCATCGCCGGACCACCGCATACCATCCGCAGACCAACGGGCTAACGGAGCACCTCAACAAGACGATCGCCGACATGATCTCCATGTACGTCGACGTAGAACACAGGACGTGGGACGAGGTATTACCCTACGTCACGTTCGCCTACAATACTGCAGTTCAAGAAACAACCAGGTTTACACCATTCGAGCTAGTGCATGACAGAAAAGTGGCGACCATGCTGGACGCGATGCTGCCCCATGAGCCAGTGGATGCCGGATGCGACGATGCCCATGCGGTCAGTCAGAGAGCCGAAGAGGCCCGCCAACTAGCCCGCCTTCGAATCCACGATCAACATAGTGTCGACGCTCGCCGGTACAATCTTCGGTGCCGCGACGTCCACTTCCAGCCCGGAGACAGAGTTTGAGTGTGGACGCCGATTCAGCGTTCGGCA